AATGTGCTTAGTGCGCTGATGCTGAACCGGATTGGAGGACATGTAGACCACGCTGATGTTGTCACAATGCACCAATGTAGCGCGGCGCAAAGGGGTGTGAAGCTCCTGAAGGAGTTGGCGCATCCAGGCGGCCTCGGCGACACCATTAGTCACCGCGTGATACTCAGCTCCAGCACTGGATCTGGAGACGGTATTCTGACGCTTGGAGGACCAAGAGACGAGGTTGCCACCAAGAAACACAGCATAGCCTGAGGTGGACTTGCACATATCTGGACAGCCGGGCCAGTCAGCAGCAGTGTAGACCACAAGATCAGTGGATGTAGATGGTCGTAGCAGAAGGCCCAAGTGAAGAGTGCCTCGAACGTAGCGTAGAATATGCTTGAGGGCAGCCAAATGAGGTTCACGAGGATCATGCATGTGTAGACAGATCTGCTGAACAGCATATGAAATATCCGGTGAGTGAACGTCAAGTACTGCAAGGCACCAGCGAGACTCTGAAAATCTGATGCGTCAGCCACAAGCGCACCATCAGTAGCGGCAACCTTTGGATTTGTGTCAACCGGAGTAGAGCACGGCTTGCACTCTGCCATCCCAGCACGGTCAAGAATATCCATCATGTATTGCTGCTGGGTGAGAAGAAGACCATCGCCTGAACGCTGAACATGCATACCAAGGAAGTGATGCAGTTCACCAAGGTCAATCATGTTGGAGGGCTGAAATAATCAGTCGAAGTAGACCGGGTGAGGAAGCTGTAAGAACAATGTCATCAACATAAAGCAGCAAATAAGCCGTGTCTGAACCACGCCAATAGACAAAGAATGAAGTGTCGGACTTGGCTTCAACAAATCCAAGGGAAACCAGATATGTAGCAAAACTACTGTACCAAGCACGAGGAGCCTGCTTCAGCCCATACAGTGACTTATTGAGACGACAAACAAAGTCAGGATGGGTAGGATCCTCAAAACCGGATGGCTGTGCATAGTAGACTGTCTCAGTCAATGTTCCGTGGAGAAAAGCATTCTTGACATCAAGCTGGTGAACAGGCCAGTGTCGAGAAAGAGCCAGGGAGAGCATCGTGCGGACTGTAGCTGGCTTGACCACAGGACTGAACGTCTCTACGAAGTCCACGCCAGGGCGCTGGGTAAAGCCACGAAGAACCTAGCGCGCCTTGTACCGCTCGAGAGACCCATCAGCATGGAACTTATGCTTGAAGATCCACTTCTCAGTGACCACATTGGGTCGAGGGGGCCGAGGTACGATATCCCATGTGTGGTTCTTCAGCAAGGCAGCATGTTCTTCTTCCATAGCAACGCGCCAACACGGGTCGGCAAGGGCGCTGTGGAAGGTCTTGGGCACAGGAGACAGCGGTGTGGCATGGTAGAGAGCTGGAATCCGGTAGCCGCTCTTCGCACGTGTTGCCATGGAGTGCTGGTTGCGTACTGGTGGAACAGCAACGGCACCCTTGAGCAGCGGTGCAGCAGGAGGACCGCCGGGGGCTGTTGGCAGGCGCTGCAGCAGGACTGGCAGAAGGCACCATCGCAGCAGTCGGTCCTCGGCGAGTGTAGACATGCTTGATGACGGGCGTCGGGAACAGCTGCGGAGCGGCCACCAGCGCCTGGGCGCCGGGCGGAGGACCACGCGCGCCTGGCGACAGCGAAGGAGGAGTCGTCGTGGATGAGGGTGGAGTAGCCGCACGTGGCTGTGCGGATGGAGTAGTCATCGTGGACGGAGGCACAGGGGCAACACATGGCTGTGCAAGCAGGGGCGTGAGGCCGGTTGGGAGCGCATCAAGCGCTGCTAGACTAGACGAGACATCACCGGGCGCAGCCGCATGTGGCTGTGTGGGAGGGTGGGTGCTGGAATCTGCAGAGATAAATCTTTGTGGGAATCCAATAGGAGCCGGCACATAGTCAGTGACATCCAAAAAATCAAAGTCGGCCTGTGATGGGGAAGAATCACGCTCAGCATAGGGAAAGGATGACTCGTCGAAAACAACATGGCGAGAGATGATCAATCTATTGGACGAGAAATCAAGGCAGCGGTATCCTTTATGATGAGCTGAATAACCCAGAAAAACACACATGATAGACCGAGGTGAGAGTTTGTTGGTGGCTGTGGCGGACATGTTGGGATAACATTTGCAACCAAAGACGCAAAGGTGGTCGTTGGAAGGCACAGTACCGAAGAGGGCAAAGTGCAGGGTGGATGATCGAAGCGTCTTGGTGGGCAAGATGTTGATGAGGTAGGTGGCGGTTTGCAAGGCTTTGACCCAGAGGGAGGGTGGAAGAGATGCCTAGAACAGAAGACAGCGCACAACATTGTTAAGGGAACGAATGATGCGCTCAGCCTTACCGTTCTGAGGCGAAGTGTAGGGGCATGACATACGAAGATGAACACCATGAGTGAGGAAGAACGTGCGAGAACTAGAGTTGTCGAACTCCCGTCCGTTGTCGCACTGAACTGCCTTGACTGTGGTGCTGAACTAGGTAGAAACATAGGCAAAAAAGGAAACTAGCGTCGAAAAAGCATTAGATTTAAGTTTCAAAGGGAACGTCCATGTATAATGAGAGCAATCATCAAGTATGACCAAATAGTATTTATAGCCTGATACACTGAGAACAGGGGATGTCCATAGATCACAATGTATAAGATCAAAATTATTGGACGCTCTAGATGCTGACATATGAAATGGAAGACGCACATGGCGACATAACTGACAACCATGACAAAGAGATGAACTATAATGACGACAAGCAGGAAGACCGAACGACGCTAGTTTGGAGAGGGCCTCGTGTCCAGGATGACCGAGGTGGCGATGCCAAAGCGAAGACCCAGAGTTGGCGACCAGGGAGTGCGCAGCCGGCAGACGAAGAGGGTACAATGGCCTATAGCTATTGCATCTGACGATCACGTTCCGAAACTGAAGATCCTTCACAGAACAACCAGTCGGGTCAAACTCAATAGAGCAATTGTTATCGAGAGTAAACTGACGAACGGAAATAAGATTCTTAATAAGCTATGGAGAGACCAAAACATTATTAAGATGTAGGGAAGGTGAAATAACAGTAGCGCCAGTAGCTGTAACGGGAAGTAAAGAACCGTTACCGATAACAATGGAGGAAGGAGTAGGATACCGCAGGGAAGTTGTATGTGAAAGAATATTAGAACGTGAGGCCATGTGAGATGTAGCACCTGAATCGAAGTACCACTCGTTGTTGTTCTGGGGCTGATTCAATGTCATGGTGCTGAATGTCGACGCCAGAGAGGACTGATCCCAGGAGGGCAGCCCAGCAAGTGGGTTGTAAAACCCGGGAGGAGGAGCAGCCCATTGTCCTGCAGACTCCATGGCAGGGGCCTGCTGCTGAGGCGCCGGCTGTGCCAGCAGGGCCTGCTGCTGGGGCACCGGTAGGGGCGTGAGTGGAGGCCGCGTTCTGGGCCACATCTAGATGGACTCGGCCCACGGATTGTAGAAGGAGGGCCACGGGGCGCCCCTGGAGCCGGAGCCGGCGGCCTTGGGCTGCCCACCGGACTGCACACCGACAGCGGCAGGGCTGGCCGTTGTTCTGCTATCCAGAACCGTCGCGCTTGCTGCCACGTTTGCCTCGGCGACTCTTGGACGAAGGAGTAGACGAAGCAGGTGCGCCCCCGGAGCCCGAGCCGCCTGTGGGGGGCTGCTGGGCAGTGGGAGGGTGCGGTGCAGAGGTGGACGAGCCCGTGGAGGCGACGAGAGCAGTCTGCTGGGAGGGCGCCTGGTTCTCCATCGTGAGCTCCTCCATGAGGAGATTAGACTTGGCCTCTAGGAATGTGGGAAAGGGACGTCCACGCCGGAGGCGCAGGCCGATGGTCTTGAACTTCTCGTTCAGGCCGCGGATGACATTAAGCACAAGAGTGCGGTCGGTGACGACCTCACCCAAGTCGCCAAGCATGTCTGCCATGCGCTTAAGTTCCCTGCAGTAATCGGTGATTGACAAGTCACCTTGAACGAAGTTGCGGAACTTAGCGTCGAGGTAGAGTGCTCGTGTCTCGTGGTTGTTGAAGAACTGCAACTCAACAGCACACCATGTGGGGCGGGCGGTGGAGTTCCAGGCCGAGATCGTCTCGGCAAGGTCGCCACTGATGGTGTTGTGGATCCACGACTTGACAATGCAATCCATGCATGCCCAGTCAGGGAAAGTAAGTGCCAGGACATCCTGCAGGACGTGGTCCTGAAGGGAGAACTTCCCCACGGCGAGGAGGAATTGATCGCGCCACCGATTGTAGTTGCCGGAATTGAGGTTGAGGACGACCTGAACAAGGTTCCGGATGTTCTGTACAGCGACTGCCTAGGCATGAAGATTGGCAATGGCGAGCAGAGCTTGATGAAGATCGTGGTGGTTGGAGGTGCGATCCTCCGCATCAGAAGGGGCGTCGTCGTCGTCATCGGCGCCGGGCACGTCGTCGTCATTGGTGCCGGGCGCGCCAGCAGCGGCGTGCTCCTGTTCAGCACGGGCCAGGGCGTCCTGGGCCTCCTTCTCGGCGGCGGTGGCGTGTGCCAGGTCATCAGCCCAGGCCTTCTTGTGGGAGGCCGTGCGCAGGCGCGCAGCGGCGGCGGCGGCCTTTGCCTGGGTATCAGACTCTAGGGCAGAGGCCGGGGGGTCAGATCCAGAGGCAGCGGCGGCAGTGGCAGTGGCGGCGGCGGCGGCGTGAGGAGTAAGAGGGGGAGTCTCAGCCATGGAGATCGCTGCACAGCAGGGTATGCCGGCGCGAAGGGCGCAACCAAGAGAAGAGGCGCGCTGGGAGGGGGGAGGCGCGCTAGGGCAGCGGAAGGTGAATGAGGGTGATGACCCAGACTCGTGATACCATGAAAGCAGATGTGGCTTAGGAATAATAGCAGATTGATTATCAGGAGTACAAGGGGTGTACAATATATAGGCAAGGATGACCTGGGGTTTATAGATCAATAACCAATCAGGAGGAACCTTGCCTAATACCAAATCACCTACTATAACAGCCCTGGGCGCCTAGGCCCATGCGGCTAGCAGCCCAATAAGCCTCACGCTAACACTTTCTTCTGAAATGAGCTGAAAGGCATTGAAAACCAAAACCATGTTGTTACAGGCAGTAATAAGGAAAAAAAAGTGTAGTGAGGCTGATCGCCTATAACAGCCATTACCTCAATTAACTTTCCTAAAGCAATGCTATCAACTCCTCCACCAGAAGAGTCTGACCGAAGTTCCAAAGCTGAAGAAATGTTGAAAAATTATCTCACATAGGATTACCACAATATACATTGCTTAAGAAGTTCAGAGTTCAGACTAACCATGACAAAAGAAGCCATGATTTTCCTCGCATAAACCTCCAAGATCATTACCATCAGTTACAGGATTGTTAAATCTAACTCCAACTTTGGAGGACCAGTTTTTTCCAAAAGCATGCACCACTTTGCCTCGAGAACCACAAGAAGGGCCCCTGTGAATCAACCAAACGACTCATCAGAATGTGAAAGAAATGTATCTCAGCAACAAAATAATCACATGACCACCACAACAAAAAGATTAATCAGTGTCAACAAAAAAGATTAATCAATATCTAACTACATCAAGTCCTCTCTGATTTCAATTCAAGTTCATGTAACTCAAATTCGGAAATCATACACTCAAAAAGATATTTAGTCAGAAGAAACACCATTTTGAGTCTGTCAAATGCTATTGCTGCATAAATATGTTCCTTCCACTGATACTAGAATAAGGTTGAAAGATATCCTCATTTCAAGTCTGTCAAAGCTCAAGAACACAAGGGGTTCCAACATTCACTGTCTGGGTCATACAAATTGACTCCACTTCAGAACACATCTGGCAAAATGCAATCACAAAGAATCCATAGAGATCTAAGACACACCATTGCTAAGTTAAAATGAAACACGAAAGCATAGCTCTCAACAAAAATACCTTGGTGCCAGATTTAATGAACTAGTACCAGTATACTCTACCCAATCACCTGCATAAGAAAAAAGATGTAAAGGTTCAATTAAAGAAAGAGTTAAATGTTAATATAGAAAAATAAAGAAACGGGCAACAAAAACCTTCTTCGAAAGTGTGTCTGTTGGATGTCCCCACAATATCATCTCCTGAACTAGAAGGTGCAACATCCCTCCGGACATCCTTCATGGACTCTCCAAACTTAGAAGACGTCTGCTAGAATATTATCTCTTAATCAATAATATGTATGTTTCTGCTGACATATTGAGGAGTTGAAAACTTGAAAAGTTCGGTAAAATTTTGAACTGTGTATATCAGTAAAGGGAGCTCATGTAGAACTTACACCACACAGCATAAGAGAATCAAGTATCAGAAGTCTAGCATCAAAACGCTTTGAAAGTGCCTTTATCAATCTTTCCTGGTAAATTTCAGACCCTAGAAGCAAGTTTTTGCCAAATAGTTAGAGACATGCAGAAAAGCAAACACCAAGAAATTGCCAGCTAGGCATAACAGTGTGTGTAACACAGCTCCGTGACATTATTTTGTCACAACAAAATAAAAAATTCATAAAAATTACCTGGTGGGCCAGATAACAGAATTCGCTGGTCTAAAGGTGAAAGTTTTGGTAAGAATTTCCTAGACTTCTTTTTCATGTGTATGAATGCAGATGATAAGAGTATCTCCTTTGTGCTCTCACTGCACGAAACGAGCACAGATTAATAAAAAAAAGGTGGTATATAGGAAAAGAAAGACACAGGCTGAACTATTTAGGACCAAGCCACCAAAACTATAGCAAAGGATAGATTGCTTTGGCCAAATTATTTTGGCAAAATACTGAAATCTGATCAACAAACAGAAAAAGAAAAAGTTCAGAGAAAAACTGGAAGATAACAGAGCTCTTAATGAAAATACACAAGACTGTATAATCTAGAACTAGCATATTACCTGAGATAATATGGGAAATTATCAAAGGTTACGTCAATATCCTTTGGGCTCAGAATCTCTTGTTTCAGTCCATCCTTAAAAGCTTGCCATCCGCTCGGAGGCAAAGAAGCTGATGGACTAGACCTGATGCAATCGCTCTGATTTTCAAGAGCTTCAAAATTCACCCAGTCAAGTCAACCTCAATTAAAGTTGGCCCTACAATATCCAAACTGATCATACGTTATTAATTGTAATCTTACCAGATCCGACTACCCTCTGGTTATTCTCTCCAGCCGATCCAGCAGTAACTTCATTACCCCTTAGAGGATGCTGAAAAATCTGCCAGCATGTTATGGATCACTCAAGATAGGAAGTCAAACTAACAAATCTGACTCATTGTATCATTGCTGAAGTACCTATTAGCATCCAAATCAATAGAGAATGGACAGAAGAATGAAATGGACATGTATGAAGTATGAACAAAATTTGATAATGTATGGATACATAGGCAAGCTTGCCACATTGACCGAAAACAACTTCATCCCCTCCTATGAGGGGAACTTTGGAGTCTCTTCCAGTTTTTCTTTTATTTACTGCAACCTCACCATTTTTTTCCCATGACCTGTAACTCACATGAACCTCCTTGCTGGAAAATGAAAAAAAAGGCCCAGTTTATGCAAGAAGTCAACAAGCATAACAAATAACTGCATTCTAACAAAGGAGAAGCATAAAGGACCTCAAGACGCCGCAATATGCATAGTTCTTGACTAACAGTTTGGTCATCCAACCATATGTCACTGTTTTTATCGTTACCAACAGAAATTTGGTTGCCAAAGATAGGAACATGGGGGGTCTGCAATCACAGATGGTTGATATTCAACATCAGTTAATATCAAATGAGCAATATGGCCTGATTAATTAAGGTAAATAAAAAAACAAATGCTCAAGTTACAAATAGAGTGAGGAATGTTTTCAGCTGATTGATCACAAAAAAAAAGAGGTAACTCAAGATTTATGAACCATGACGACAAAATTACAGGTTCTTACACATTTGAGATGCAGAAAGATCCCATGAAGATTAAATACAGACTTTCTTGCAGTCACCACACCGAGAAGAATATTTCAGACGTTCACCTACGTTTGACCTTGTACGAGTGTGTTATAATAAAATCAGAAATGGTGGTTAAATAACTCCATTAGAACATGTCCTTGTCCTAAAAACCATTATGATCCCTAGGAAAGAGAAACGATAACAGTACAACTTTCGGAATAATCCTAATACTCCAATCAAGGAATTCCTCCGGACCAAGAAACCACTGATAACTAACGGATTCCAAGAACATTCAAGAAACTGCACAGAATGTGGACACTGTTCTGCACCAGCAACCAGAAGTGCAGAACACGTGGACTTGATGCAAGGCGCTAAAAGTAAAAGCTAGAATCCCAAGACCACGATCAAACAAATTGTGCAAATGCCGTACAGGTTCCCGAATCATCAAGGAGCGATGCACAGAATGCAAGTATGCTCCGAAATGGCACAAACGCAGACGACCAAACGGCAAGAACCGTCAAGAAACCGCTTCAGACCAAGAATCCAGGGAACAACCACCAGGAACACCCTAAGAGCACAATACGGAATGTCGAGAGTCAAACCCCACACACCCACGCACCTGCGACTGCGAGCGCTGCGAAAGCAGCTTCGCCCACGGTACGGGGCCCGAGCGCGTCCCCGCCGCCGGCGCCGCCCCAGCTTCGGGCACGGAGGCCTCCGACGCCTTCTTCGCCTGCGATTCCAGTCCACGTCAGCTCCATCCAACCAATACCGTATTCCCGCTTTGCACTTTAGTGGAGGAGGTCAGGAGGAGGAGGAGCTCGAGTTCACCTTGCCGCGCTTGGTCGGCGAGAGCAGCAGGGAGGACGATGCCGCCGGGCGCTTCGCGCCGCGGCCGCGCTTCCCTCCACCTCTCCCTCCGCTGCGAGTCGTCACCATGGCGGCCGGCCGGCGACGAGGGCGGGGGTTCGTTTCGCTTTCCGGCTTTCCGCAAAAGGCAAGGGAACGGAATGGAAGCCGAAGCAGAAGCCTCCGTGGATTCGCCTTCTGCTTTTTTTATGGGGGAAAAATGGAAAGATGGCGGAGCCTGTGGGGTTTTATTGAGAGCTATTGGCCCACCTGTCAGCTTCATGTACGTCGCAAGCTTTCGCTTTCTTTAGAGGGGATACCGGATACGGATTGGATCCTCTGTTCGTGTGTGTGAGTTTGTGACCCTTTTGTGGTAGTTTTTTTTTCAAACTTTTGTGGTAGTTTGCAACTAGTGTACTTCTCATTATTTACCACAAGCCCGGCGTTTGACCAATTTGAACCTTTTGGCCATGTGCACACTTAACACTTTTTTTTTTGGAAGGGTGATGGTAGCGTCCGACGTGCGACGCCCAGGATATTTTTCGGACGCAGCTCCCCACCAGCCAACTGTTAAACGATTCCACCAACCGTGGACGGATGTCGTGGCCCACCAACAGATGTCCGACCTTAGGCTACTCGAAGTGGTATCCCTCTACCCTGCCCTCATAACAAAGAAGGGGAGAGCGTGCGCTCGCATCCGCGCAGCCATCCCCTTGCACGCACCGGCCCTCTCCGTAGTCTGAGAATGATGCAAGGCAACAGAAGGCGAGGAGGAGACATTGAGACGAGACAGTAGAAGAGGAGGGAGATGCAACACCCGATCTACTTTCAAAACTTCCAGATGCAACACTTGCAATATACGTACGAAGACAGATGAAAAACTTAAAACATGTGTTTGAAACATTTGTAAAAACACTTGAAAAAACACTCGAAACCATTGTAAACATACACAATATCTAGATAAAACCACTTGCAACATATATATGAAACGATGCAACATCCAAATAAAATAAATAAAACATTGAGAACGGACATTTGCATCATACATGTACAAACTATTGCAACATATGCAATATCCCGATCTGCTTTTGCAACATCCATATAAAACACTTGCAACATACCTCTAAAACATCTGCAACACTTGAAATAGATGCTTCCATCATGCGCTTTCAAGTGCAACATCTACTTGCTGCTTATGAAATGGAGGCTTGCCGTCGTGTGGAGTTCACCGGAGGCAGCCGCGCCGTCTCCACCATCGACTAGCACCACCATCGACCAGATCGGCGACGCAGTCCCCACAACCACCGGATCTCTCGCCGCGCAGTGAATTTGGTGGAAGGAGCAGCGAGGCAGAGTAGGGCGGAGGCTCGCGGCGACGCAATGTGGGCGAGTGGCCACCTACTGCAGGTGGGATTCGCCAAGCACGGCATCGGGCACCGCAGGCTTGAGAACCAGCCGTCTTGCAGACGCTGAGGTGGTCGCGCTTTTGGGCCTCCTCTGCAAGCACCACCAAAGGTCCTAATATGGCAAAAGGGGTGAATAGCATATTTAAAAACTCTACAAAGCACTAGATCAATTGATTAGTATGACAAACAGCGTAATACAATTTTGCTCTAGCTCTACAAGGGTTGCAAGCCACCTATCCAACAATTCTAGTTGATATGATCACTATGCACACAAGAGACTAAGTTGCTACTCACTAAGAGCTCTCAAATTTGCTACACTAAAGAGCTCCACTAGGTGTACTTAAACTAGCAAGCAAAAAGCTATCAAAACTAATTACACTAAAGAGCTTGTTACAACTAGTTTGCAAGTAAGTAAAGAAGTGAGTGAAAAGCTTATACCGCCATGGAGAGGAATAAACCAATCACAATATGAATGCCAATACAATCACCGAGAGAATACCAATGGGCAAGAGACAATCAATTTTTCTTCCGAGGTTCACGTGCTTGCTCGGCATGCTAGTCCACATTGTGTCAACCAACACTTGATGGTTCGGCGGCTAAGAGGTGTTGCACGAACCTTGTCCACACAATTGGACACCACAAGAATCTACCCACAGCCACATGTGAGGAAACTCAATGACACGAGCAATTTACTAGAGTTACCTTTCGACGCTCCACCGGGAAAGATACAAGACCCCTATAATCACCGGGAGACAGCCACGAACAATCACCAACTCGTGCCGATGATCCTTCACTGCTCCAAACCGTCTAGGTGGCGACAACCACCAAGAGTAACAAGAAATCCACAGCCACAACGATCCCCAAGTGCCACTAGATGCAATCATTCAAGAAAATACACTCGGAATCACTCTTAATCTCACTATGATGATGAATCAATGATGGAGATGAGTGGGAGGTGTTTACTTAAGCTCACAAGGATGTCAAGTATGTCAAAGTGCCAAGAGGGTGAGCCCCAAGCCGGCCAAGGTCTATTTATAGACCCCCATAAAAAATCCAACCGTTACTCTCCTCGGGGCTGACCGGACTCACCTCAGAGTTCGGTCAGGTGTGTCCAGTCGCACCTGCCGACCAGCCACAGCACGCCACGTCGCCTCCATTCAAATTTGACCGTTGTCGCCCACGCGCTCACGAGTTAGTCATGCACCAGACGCGCCTCTGCCCATGACCGACGCCAGCCACTTTAGGGTCCGGTCGAGTACAGAGAGCATCCAGAGCGTGTTTTTCACGACCGGTCCTTCACAACTATATGAATCTTCTTTGGAGATTCTTCTTCGGAGATGCATTGTACGTGTCAACTTGCGCGAAACCTTCTCAAATTTTTATCACAGCCTCCACATACGATATCATGATACCTTGACAAGTTTCATGATTTTCGGACTTCGTTTGCTTTTTATACAATTTAAAAACAATTCGCCCACAAGTTCGTGGTCATGTTTCGTGAACAAGATGTTTGAAATTTCTGGTCTATTCCTGGATACGGCCTCACATTAGACTCAATAACATGAATATCATTTTTCCATTCATTTTTTCCATTATTCGAATGACTTGTAGTTCAAATTTGACTTATCCAAAAAAATTCAATTAAATGAAATAAATTAAAGAAATATATCAAAAAGACCGAGAAATGTGCCAAATTTGAACATGTAGTTCAAGGTACTGTAGGAGCAAAATAGAAAAAGTTTGGGGGCAAGAAGAAAAAATAAATAAAAAAGTTTGATGAGTGTCAAGAAATGACACTCGGCAAAGGATATTTTTCTTTTTTTTAAAAAAATAGCACCTTTGCCGAGTGCCGGATCGCGGGCACTTGGCAAAGGCCCTAATCTAAATCCTCCACGCCTAAGGGCAACTCACACACGCACACACCCCGTCGGAGCCCGCCCTCGCCCACCCCCGCCGCCCTGCCTTGCCTGCCCCGCCCTTGCCCACCGCCCCCCCCTGCCCCTCCCCGCTGCCCCACCCTCACCCCCACCCACCCCACCACCCGCCCAAGCCCACTGGCCCGAGGGAGGAGAAGGAGGCCACCGGAGGAGGAGGAGGAGGAGAAGGAGGAGGTGCCTCGGCCCCTCGGCCAGGCGACCGCCCCCACATGGCTGTTGTTGCCGCCCCCACCCCCCTCTGTGCTGCTCCCCACCCGACCCGGAGCTCGGCGCCCCGTCCCCGCCGGCGCATGAGGTATGCCCTCGCTTCCCTTCCTCTCCCTTCCTACTGTGTGCATGGTACATGTGGTACGTGGTTGTGTTTGTGTTTGTGGTGGTGGTTGTGGTTTTGTTGTGGTGGTGGTGTGTGGTGGTGGGCGGTGGCGGTGGCGGCGGCGGCGGTGTGGCTATGGCTGTGGTTGTGTTTGTGTTTGTGGTGGTGGTGTGGTTTCGATGGTGGTTGTGGTGGTGGTGGTGTGGTGGTGGCGGTGGCGGTGGCGGTGGTGGTGGTGTGGCGGTGGCGGTGGTGCTGTGGTTTTGATGGTGGTGTGGTGGTGGTGGTGTGGTGGTCGTGGCGGTGGTGTAGTAGTAGTCGGCACCATCGTATCGTTGTTTGTTCCCTTGATATGTGGTTGTCGGCCATCGTGCCGTTGTTTCTTCTAGGTTTTGGAAACCTCACCGTGCAGAGGAGGTGCTGCCAAAATTTTCAAATTGACAGTATTATGTTTCTTTTTTTGCAGAGAAGAGCCAGTACGAGCTGAGCCAGAGTACCCCGATCGTCTTCCTCGCCGCTGCAGGTCTGCCTGCACCGCGTCGCCTCGCCACTGCACCGACCCGACCATGGCCCCGCTAGCCTAACTCCACCGCCACCCAAGGTATAACCTCTCTTTCCGTATCATGGTCGTAGATCAAGTAACCCAGTTAGGCGTCTCCCATTTGAAAGAGATACGGTTGGAAGTATGTAGATCTTTGCATATGTATAACCGTATCTATTTCGAATTGTCCATGTTTTTAGACAGCCCACGAATGCGTAGATGGGTTAGTTTCCATGGTCTGCTCCGATCCGAGATAGAGTTTCGGCATCATCTCCCTATTGTTCTCCGGATACACACTCTCCCTGCCAGGACGTGTATCTATAGAACAGCGGGTAGGTGCTGCCAAAATTCTGTCTTGAATTGGAGTAGAGCATGGAAACTAACCTCATATATGCATCATCGGGTGGGATTAGGACCTATCCATACCTATTAGATAGTAGGAACACCATGTAGATGCAATTGATGGTTATATTACTCACTCATATATATGTTAGAGGATGGATGACCGTGAGTGGATGTACACGGGCCGCTCAAGTTAGGGTCAATTCACCGATGAATGGGTGGACAAGACCGATGCTTTCTTGGACCTAGCATTTGGCGAGGCTACTAAAGGAGTGAGTCAAGTTTTGTGTCCCTACAGAAATGTGCAAATAGGAAAAGACAAAACAAGGAGAACATGGGTAAATATCTTTTGAAGAATGGATTTACGCCTGACTATACCGGTGGGTCCACCATGGTGAAGCCCATCATATGAGAGAGGAGATGGTGAGACCACGTGTCGAGGATTATGATGCTGATGCCGGGGTAGGAGACATGTTAAATGACTTTCTCGAAGCATAGTTCGCTGAACGACATACAGAGGAGGAGATGGAGGCAACCGCAAAGGCGTTCTA